TTCTCTTTCCTTCTAGTTGTAGAATTTCCACTCAGCCAGCCTTCCTGTGGTTCTGGATGATGTCCGTTCAGTCTTTTAGTTGTATTTTTGAAGTTGTTGTGGGAGGCAGCAATTTCCGGTGTTTACCTATGCTGCCATCTTGGTTTCTCCGATCAGTATAACTTTTTAAATGCTGAACATTTGACTTATTTTTAAAGATATGTTATGGTTAGTATCTTGTTTTGTCCTAAAACAATTTAATAATATTTACAAAATAGCAGTCAACTTGTCCTTAGCACTAATTGTCCTTAACAGAAGACAATACATTTGTGCTTTATATAGTTAATTTTATTAGAAAAGCAGTCTTCATTTGTTAATAAGTGTTTGTGTGCCCATGGTATCCTGACAGGCACTAGAGAAACAAGAGAAGTACATCTATTTCCTTCCCTGCAATCTAAAATAGATATTAGCTCAAGTATACATCACTAAAGGATAAAAAAAAAAAATGAATATAAGGCAAATCCAGTCTTCAGCCACCAAACGGGGTTGAGGGAGGGTATAAGCAATACACATTTTTATTGCTAGAATGTTTATGTTCAATATTTGGCTCCCCAAAATTAATGCTTCTGTAAATAGAAAGCTGCATATAAAAATGTTTTTCCGCCCTAACCGGTTTGGCTCAGTAGATAGAGCGTCGGCCTGCGGACTGAAGGGTCCCAGGTTCGATTCCGGTCAAGGGCATGTACCTTGGTTGCGGGCACATCCCCAGTTGGGGGTGTGCAGGAGGCAGCTGATCGATGTTTCTCTCTCATCATTGTTTCTAACTCTCTATCCCTCTTCCTTCCTCTCTGTAAAAAATCAATAAAATATATTTTAAAAAAATGTTTTTCCTTTGGTTTGATTTTTTTTTTAATCTTTTATTTTCTTCATTTTTGTTTAGGGATACAAACCTCCAGATGAAGGCCCTTCTGAGTACCAGACTATCCCACTGAATAAAATAGAAGATTTTGGTGTACACTGCAAACAGTAAGTAATTTTAAAATGCATCTGATGCCAGAGACCTTATAAGAAACCTTAGCGATCGTACAGTCCAAGCCCCTTACAGATGAGAATAAAGGTTCAGACAGAATGCATTTCATAATATCTTTTAAAATAATAGTAAGAATGTACAAATTTAGGATCATATTTGAATTCTTTATTAATAATTGTTTTAGTCTAACATTATTTGTCTTTCACACAACCATAAACATTTTATCAGTGTATAAGATACTTGGTCTGTTAATGAAATTAACAGTTAAAAGAAGTTATATTCAGGGCCAAGCTGACACTAGCCTGTCTGCAACCTCAAAGTACCCAGGTTCCATCTAACAAAAATTCTTGCTTCATTTTCACTCCAAAAGTTAAAGAAGCCATACTAGAAACCACTGAATTGTATACTTCTTTAAAATAGTGAATCTTAAGGTATGTGAGTTACATTTCAATTTCAGAAGCGTTAAAGAGACCAAGAGGACAGTTTTCTCCACCTTCTAAATGTATCTTGCCACCTCTCTTGCTGTCATCTTGCCCCAAGCTGTGTGGAGCCTGAACCAAAGCACTGGCCTTCTCACTAGTCTTCCTCCTTCTGCCCTTCATCCCTTAAAGGTCTTTTATCCCCCAACTTATTCTGTTAAAATCCAAGTCAAATCATGTTCCTCCTCAGAATGACTTCCCTTCTCACCAAGAATACAATCCATATTCCTCACAGCCCTGTGTGGTCTGGCCCCTGCAACCTCTCTGAGCTCATCTCCTCTCGCTGAACCTTTGCTCTCTCTAGTCCAGGAACAGTGGCCTCTTTATGGTATGTCAGACATGCCAGGCAGGCTCTTGCCTAGGGCCTTTGCACTTGTTGTGTCCTCTGCCTGGAACATTCTTCCTTTTTTCCATGAGGCTCACTAACTACTTCACTCACTGATTATCTGATTAAGGGTCACCTTAACAGAGAATGTTCATTGGTCACCCTATCTAAAATAGCACCTTCCTGACGCCGTGTTCCCTTTCCTGCATTATTTTTCTTAGCACTTGACACCATCTGATATGTTTTGCTTCCTTGTTATCGACCTCATTAGAATGTGAACTTCATGGAAGTATATGTTTTCTCAGACATTTAAGCAAATTTTCTTTGCTATCCCTGATTATAAATTAGGCACCTTTGGAAGCAATAGTAATTCTTTAGGTGCTTTAAGGACCTGCTTTATAGTTTACTTTCCAAACAGCAGTAGGTCCTACTTAGGGGATTCGAATGGGAAGAATGGGGAATCCACAAGTCATTTTCAGTATTTTTAAAAGCCTAACAAAAATTATACCTGACCCTAGACAGGCTGTTCATTAAGCTTATGTGCTATTGTCTGGAACTAATAAACTCAATATCATGAATAAATATATGTCACTCTGAAATTCTGATTGGTTGTTGATAACATCTTGGGAATTTCTGAGCTCTACAGAAAGAAAAAATATAACACAAGAAAGTTTATTAAGCAGAAGATTTTGAAACCATACCCCTGAAGAGTAAAGAAACCATGATTATCTGATGTTCTATTGGACTAAAAACTAAAACATTACTATTTGGATATAAAATATAATTCACTGAAATTTGGTTTTAACTTTTATATGATACTAGAAGCCAGTGGGGTCCCTTGGCCTAGCCTGCACCCTCTCTTAATGTGGGACCCCTCAGGGGATGTCGAAGAGCTGGTTTCAGCCCAATCCCCACAGGCCAGGCCGAGGGACCCCACTGGTGCATCCTCCCATATAGGATCTTTGGTTAAT